GCGAAGCAACGGCTATTAGCGGCTTAGCGACTTTTAACGGCTTAGCGGCTATTAACGGCTTAGCGGCTTTAAGAAAAAGGAAACAAACTCACAAGAACTCGCAAGACGTTTCGTCTTGCGAAGCAAGCCCATAGGGAAATTCGTCTTGTGGAATGACTCAAAAAACAGAAAACCCTTTCGTCTAGTGAGTTTTTCGTCTTGCGAGGCATTCGTCTTGCGGGGCACCACTGTACTTGCACTGGTGTGCTTTTGAACTGCTAGGTTGGCAGGAGCTGGGACAGAGCAACGGGAGCTCACCCCATGGCGGGGATTCGAACCGGAGTATTTTTGAGTTATTGTTTCTGTTTTGATTTGATTTGATACTGTGATCTGCTTATGTGAACCACCCTGAGACCTCCGGGTATAGGGCAGTATATAAATTCTAATAAAATAATAATAATAATAATAATAATAATAATAATAATAATAATAATAATAAAAACACCACATACAGATAAATAAAATGGGAGAGCACTGCAAGGCTGTATAATTTAGAATTGCTCAAGCGAGGCAACATCTCACTCATACCACCACTGCCTAACCTCACACCTCTTTAAACCACCAATACATGAGTCACTCACACTCAAAACAGCACAGAAAGCGGAGTCCTCACCCAACAAGGCTGTGTCTCTGTCTTCGTCGTCCTCCTCTTCTTGCTTCATCTCCCCTAAGACGACCCTCTGCCAGGTGTCTGAGGAAGCGTCTTCAGCGGTGGGGAAATGAGCAGCCTCCTCTTTGAATGAGCCCAACATCTGAAACAAGAGCACAGGATGTTGAAAGGAGGTGAGGCAAGGATGAGGCTGGTTGCTGGCGAGTTCAAGGGGCTGGTTTGAGTGAGCCCTAGAAAGCTTGGGACCTGGATACCTGAAAAATCACCTCTCCCTTTAGAGACCCAACCAGTCACTGCACCACCTGCAGATACAATCTTATTTTATTTATGTGTTGCATTTTAATCCCACCTGTTTTCCTCAGATTGATAGAATCTGGCTTCGTCATGGTGTTCCGTGGCACCAGAAGCGACCAACGCCGCCTGCCTCGGCCTGAAGCGAGATGAGCGCTACAACTCTACAGTCATCTTTGACTGGACTTAACCGTCTAGGGGTCCTTTACCTTTTAGCTTAGAATTGGAAGGGACCCAAAGGTTCATCTAGCCCAACCCCCTGCAATGCAGGAATTTGTGCCCTGGGTGGGCACAAACCACCAACCTTCTGGTTAACAGTCAGACGCATTGACCCACTGCGCCAGAGGAGGAAGAGGATGCCTGTGGAATACCCACAAGCAGGACCCAAGAACAGGAGCCTTCTCCCCTGCTGCAGACTCTAGCAAACTGGTATTGAAGGTGACCCAGAAACTACAATTAATCCAGAATGCAGCAGCTAGACTGGTGACTGGGAATGACCATCGAGATCATATAACACCGGTCCTGAAAGACCTACATTGGCTCCCAGTACGTTTCCGAGCACAATTCAAAGTGTTGGTGCTGACCTTTAAAGCCCTAAATGGCCTCAGCCCAGTAGACCTGAAGGAGCGTCTCCACCCCCATCATCCAGCCCAGACACTGAGGTCCAGCGCCGAGGGCCTTCTGGCGGTTCCCTCCCTGCGAGAAGCGAAGTTACAGGGAACCAGGCAGAGGGCCTTTTTGGTGGTGGCACCCGCCCTGTGGAACACCATTCCATTAGATGTGAAGGAAATAAACAACTATCTGACTTTTAGGAGACATCTTAGGGCAGCCCTGTTTAGGGAAGTTTTTAATGTTTGATGTTTTATTGTGTTTTTAATATTCTGTTGGGAGCCACCCAGAGTGGCTTGGCGTAAATTATTATTATTATTATTATTATTATTAATAATAATACCCCACCCATCTGGCTGGGTTTCCCTAGCCACTCTGGGCGGTTTCCAACAAAATCTTAAAATATAGTAATGCATCAAACATTAAAAGCTTCCCTAAACAGGTCTGCCTTCAAATGTCTTCTAAAAGTCTGGTAGTTGTTGTTCTCTTTGACATCTGGTGGGAGGGCATTCCACAGGGCGGGTGCCACTACCGAGAAGGCCCTCTGCCTGGTTCCCTGTAACTTGGCTTCTCGCAGGGAGGGAACTGCCAGAAGACCCTCAGTGCTGGACCTCAGTGTCCGGGTAGAACAATGGGGGTGGAGACACTCCAGATGTACTGGACCAAGGCCGTTTATTATTATTATTATTATTATTATTATTATTATTATTATTATTATTATTATTCAGAAGTGTTACCACTTCCAACTGTGGAGACAGAGCAGAACCACCATGCTAGTAGCCATCAATGGTCCACTTCATGCATTAGTGCAAGACAGTGTGCTTCTGAGCATCCCTTTTTGGAGGCTTCAGGTGGGGAGAGATGCTGTCACAAGCAGGTCTTGCTCAGGGGCTTCCCACTGAAGCATGTGTTTGGCCACTGTGGGAAACAAGATGGTGGGCTAGAAGGAGCCCCTTTGGCCTGACCTCTTCCTGGGTCCTTCCTAACATCCTCACCAGCTCTTCCTGCCTCTCGTCCTCTTGCTGCCGCAGCAGGAAATCCTCCACCAGGGCCACCGCCTGGGAACAGTTCTCCGGTTCCACGTCCCTGACCCAGTTCTGCACCTCCGCTGGCAGGACAGCCAGGAACTGCTCCAGCACCACCAGCTCCAGGATCTGCTCCTTGGTGTGCCTCTCGGGCTTCAGCCACAAGTTGCACAGCTCCCAGAGCTGGTTGCACACCTCCCTCGGCCCCTCGTTCTCCTGGTAGCCGAACTGCCGGAAGTGCTGTCGCTGCGCCTCTGAGCTGGCTGGCTCTTCCTCCAGGACCTCCTCCTTCACCTTCAAGCAGCGGACTTTGTCGCTGCCCCACAAGCCGCTCTCTGTCAGCTGGGTTTCTTTACAGAGGTCCGGCAGGAGGCGGGCCATCCTCTCGCTCCCTCCGAGATGCTGACCGGGGCGACGGCTGTGCTGTTGAAGGGAGAAAAGAAAAATTGGAGCTGGAAATATTCCTTGGCTGAAAGCTACCTGCCAGAGTAGGGGGAGCCTTGCATTAAGGCACCAGCCTGGTAGCCACAGAGTCACAGAATTGTGGAATTGTAGAGTCAAAAGGGACCCAGAGGGTCATCCAGTCCAACCCAGGACTATGCGGGAATATTTTTCCTGAACCCACAACCTTGAGATCAAGAGTCTCATGCTCTGTTGACTGAGCTATCTATCGGGCAGTGTGGAGGAGTTGTGGAAGTTTCTGCCTGAACTCTATGGAACGCAAATTGGAGTGGGATCAAGTGCAACGTAAGAAGTAAAAGAAGCAATCAAAATATAACTAAAAATTGTCGGGACGTCTAGCACAGGGCATTACATTTGCTACAAAAGGCAGAAAAATAATTATTCAAATAAATATTCAAGTGGTCCGTTGGGCGGAAGCGGGGTGGGAAGTTTGGAAACCACTGGTGTAATAAATAGACTATACCTATGTCTACAGGAAAGATGCTCTTTATTTTAAAGAACGTGGGTAGGCATTCAAAGGCATGACACCCTGAGAGAGGATCCAGATTGCCACCTCCTCATTCTGCACAAAGACTCGCTCTCTGCTCCACTTGAAATGTGCATCATCCCCAAAAAAATCAAAAAATCGAAGGGGCGCCTCATTTTTCTGCCGCTCTCCCCTACCTGGCAGGCAGAAATCCAACCAAGGATGTTTTCCCAGCCTTCCCTCTCCTTCCCAGCCCCACGGCAGGGAAAAGCTTCCCCAGTTGCACTTCTGCCTGCCATGGAGCCCATTCGAGGCCCAGCACACCCTCCCTTCCCCTCCGCCCTCCCCACTTGCCTGGTTCTTTCGCAGCCACCGGAAAAGTCCTTCCGAGCCCTGATTATCTGCGCGTGGGAAAATTCAAAGGCCACTTTCCCATGGGAAGCGGAACAGGAAGTGGCATTTGATTGTTTTTGTTCCCCCCTTTCCTGCCGCAGAGGAGCTTCCGGTCTCTCTAGGAGGCGGTATTCCCTCACCTTAACCCTTTGCGGAGCAAAAGAGTCTTAATGCAGATTGTGACAAAGCTCGCTGACATGGGGGCCCTTCAGATATTGCTGAACTACAACTCCCATCGCCCCTGGCTGGGGATGGCGGAACCTGCACTCTGTTAATGTCTGGAGGACATGACATTTGAGACTAACCCTGGGTTGGGAAACCTGTGGACATTGCTGTACTCAAGATTGTGTACATATCATACATTTTGAGTGTCATACATTTTCAGTGTATCTGAAGAAGTGTGCATGCACACGAAAGCTCATACCAAGAACTAACTTAGTTGGTCTTTAAGGTGCTACTGGAAGGAATTTTTTTTGTTTTGACTATGGCAGACCAACACGGCTACCCATCTGCAACATACATTTTGAGTACATCTTCCTCACCACCAAAGGGTGGCTGGTTAAACCCAGCCAGATGGGCGAGATATAAATAAAATTATGATGATGGTGGTGAATTATAGGAGCTGTAATTTTCTATGGGTGCTGGGAACTGTAGCTATTTGTGGGGTAAACTGCAGTTCCCAGGATTGGGGCATATGTGTGCTTTAAATATACGGTTGATTCCCATCAACCCTAGCTAGGTTGACTAACAGATGGCATAAAAGGGTGTCAATGTTTCCCTTTTTTTAAGGGAAATTCCCTTATTCCAAATAGGATTTCTCACAAGAAAAGGGAAAAGTTGACAGCTATGAAAAGGGGAGGAGGAGAAGTTAGCTTTGCACAGGCACAGTCTCCAATTGCTTGGGAAAAACCCTGGAGAGGAGGGGACTTTCAGTCTCAGCAAGGGGGACAGACCTGCCGGAGATGAGTTGCTGTGCTTATTAGGCCTGACACTCCTGTGTCGATCGTGTTTTGCTGAGTGTGTGTACATAGCACCTCCCAGGGCCTAGCTGCACTCCCAAGGAGAATAGTGCATGGTGTTTTAAAAACAACAACCAGTAAACAAATTTCAGTACAAAACCATCGTGTATTTAATGCAAAAGTTCAGAAACCCCATAAAACCACCCAGTCAAACCTTCATAATGAAACCAGATTCCTGCCCCAGGAAGGGCTTGCTTTCAGCACCCAAGGCAAGCCCTGCTTTTGCCAGGGATCAATGCTGCTCTGGAACTTCAGAGTAAAACCAAGCACAGTGGGGCACGGCCAATAGGCAAGGGTCCGGGGAGCTGGAGTCCAATAACACATTGAGGGCCACAGCTTTCCCTTGCCCCCGTAAGACAGGAATGTCCTAAGTTCATGGCAGAGGTGGCCAGCCCATCTCTCTCAGGTGGATTCTCTGATGTCCTGTAAGGTTCCACCGGTCCCTGAAACTTTTGCTGCTCCCAGAGAAGGCTCTGCCTTCTCTGCCAAGTGGGTCATCTGATGCTTGGAGAAACTCGACCTGTTGCTGAAGCTGCTCCGGCACTCCAGGCACGAATAGGACTTGTTGCCCGTGTGGATCTTCTCGTGGGCCGTCAAGCTGGAGTGGTGCTTGAAGCTCTTCCCGCACTCGGAGCACACATACGGCTTCTCGCCTGTGTGGATCCTCTGGTGGTTCTTCAGGTCGATGCGTTGGCCGAAGCTCCTCCCGCACTCGGAGCACTGGTACGGCCTCTCGCCCGTGTGGACCCTCTGGTGGCGCGCCAGGATGGGCCTCGTGCTGTAGCACTTCCAGCAAACCGGGCACCTGTGGAGCTTCTCCCTTGGAGGTTTTGTTTCCCGTGGGACGAGGAACGACTTCCACCGGTAAGTCCTCCCGGAATTGGTCCACACCTCTTCTCTTTCATCTATGAGGAGGCCTCCAGAGGCCTCACCTTTCTGCTCTAGTCTTCTCAAAGATTCCTCTCGTGTTTCTGGGTGCTCAGAACGGAGGAGTGGACCTTCAGCCTCGCCAAACATTATTCTATCACACAAAGAGGATGAGGAGAGGCAATCTTGGCTCCAAGCCTCCTCTGCAGAAAGGAGAAGAGCAGATTGCACCTTACTTGTCTCAGGGGAAAGTTTAAAAGGGAAGCTATCTCTGCCTCAGAAACATTCGTCAGAAACATTCTGGCTACAGGGAACCAGACAGAGGGCCTTCTCGGTAGTGGCGCCCGCCCTGTGGAACGCCCTCCCATCAGATGTCAAAGAGATAAACAACTACCTGACATTCAGAAGACATCTTAAGGCAGCCCTGTTCAGGGAAGTTTTTATTATGTAACGCTGTACTGTTTTTAACACTTGATTGGGAGCCGCCCAGAGTGGCTGGGGAAACTCAGCCAGATAGGCAGGGTATAAATAATAAATTATTATTATTATTATTATCCCCACCCCCCAAAAAGTATCCTGCTCCCTTAAATAGCTCTTCTTCAAAAAGCTCTTGGTAAGGATGACCAAAGGTGGCACTGTGGGTTAAACCACAGAGCCTAGGACTTGCCGATCTGAAGGTCGGCGGTTCGAATCCCCGTGACGGAGTGAGCTACCGCTGCTCAGTCCCTGCTCCTGCCAACCTAGCAGTTCGAAATCACGTCAAAGTGCAAGTAGATAAATAGGTACTGCTCCGGCGGGAAGGTAAACGGTGTTTCTGTGCGCTGCTCTGGTTCGCCAGAAGTGGCTTAATCATGCTGGCCACATGACCTGGAAGCTGTACGCCGGCTCCCTCGGCCAGTAAAGCGAGAGGAGCACCGCAACCCCAGAGTCGGCCACAACTGGACCTATTGGTCAGGGGTCCCTTTACCTTTACTTTGAGGATGACCAATTGATCAAGGGGACGGATCAGCTCCCCTATGAGGAAAAGTTGCAGAGTTTGGGGCTACATATGGACTTATCCCTGCTCGTTTCCCCCAAAATGTTTTTAATGGGCACTCACTTGAAAAAGAAACATTATACTGGGATCTTCTCATTAAAGTCTTGTTGGCTTCGAAGGAATAATCTTCTGGCTGAAGAGGCTTCTGCTTGGTCTCACTTGCCATGCCACCACCTTTTGGAAGAGAAGAATATATTCACAAATGACAATTTAAAAACTTGTGGGACCACACACATGCAACACAACCATAGCTACTGGCTTCCAAAGGAGATGGCCGGTGGTGGGAATGGTTAGACCAATTCGTGGAAGCAGATAGGTTTATAAGCCATGGCAGCTAAATGGAGCTTCCCTGTTCAAAGGTAGGTTATCTCCAAATGCCGTAAGAACGTCAACAGTATGGCCGGGGCTGTGGGTAGTGATGTCATCCAGCCAAGATTAGCTCTCTTCTCCTTTCTTTCCTTATATTCCAGCACTAAATGAGCTGAATTAACACCTTTCCACTCACAACGGCACAGAGAATAAAGGCTTGCAGCTTCTGACACAACTCAGAAGTCTCAAGGATCTAAAGAAAATGATTTGCGCTCTGATTTTGAATCCTGAGACTCACTTCTGTCAGCGGAGGGGGAGATCAACCAGGCGGCTGTCAATACAGCTCCAAAGAACAGAAAAGGCAGGAAACTCAGTTTAGCTGTGATGCCTGCTCTTAGAGTTAAACTTTAGCTCAGATACACAGGAATACTGGTCTCTCTACGGAGCAGAAATAAAAAAATATTTCAAGACAGGTCGCTGATTTCAAAAACCATTAATTGAGCAAAAAATCAGAGCATAAAGAATAAAAACCACTGTCACCAGACCAGCAATAAACTATATGGCTGAGGCTGATGGGAGCTGTAGACAGCACCAGGTTGGAAAGGCTGATACAGATATACATATTTTTTAAAACCAACCAACCTTGAGACACATGTTTTCTGGCTTTACATCTATCTTGTCAGGAAAAGTGTTCAGGAAATATGATATTCTGACTGAACTAGGAAGATTCAAGCCTGTTGGCCACGTTCTTTAAATGACATTACCTGAAATTCTCTCCATTTCCTTGGAGTCCGGTACACAGAGATTGTTGGTGCCTTTAGGCCTGGAAGTGAGGGTCAGCTTGGGAAAGAAACATCCTCCTTCAGAAGGGAAGACAAAAATACAAGTGGAATTCTGACACACTTCTCCATACTAACCTAGGTCCTAACCAGACCCTGTGATCATCTTTTGGGGCCCTTCTTCGTGTGCCTCCTCCACGAGAGATCCAGAGGGTGGCAGAACGAGAACGGGGCCTTTTCTGCAGTGGCTCCCTGTTTGTGAAAAGCTCTCCCCGGGGAAATTTGCCTGGCGCCTTCATTATACACCTTTCAGCGCCAGGCAAAAACATTCCTCTTCAACCAAGCCTGTGGCTGATGAACATTCTGTGTCCTTTTAAATGTGTTTTGTGGGAAGGAGGGATATTGGTTTATTTCAGTTTTTGTTCTCGTTTTTATTATGAATTTCGTGTTTTTATTTTGTATTTTTATGCTGTGAACTTCCCCAAGACCTTCGTATGAAAGGTGGTATACAAAATGAATAAAAGAATAAATGCAGCTCCCGGAATTCTTTGGGGGAAGCCATGCCTGCTAAAGGGGTATAAGAATGCTTTAAATGTATGGTGAGGATGTGAACTTTGACAGGGAGCGTTTCCAAACCCTAAATGGGGATTGATCCTGAGGCCTTCTGTATGCATGCATGCATGAATTGATTTATTTTGGTCCCTGACCAGAGTACAACATATACAGTCAAACCTTAGATCCTGAACACCTTGGTACACAGACGTTTTGGCTCCTGAACGCCACAAACCCGGAAGTGAGTGTTCTGGTTTGCAAATGTTCTTTGGAACCCGAACGTCCGATGGGGCTTCTGTGGCTTTGGGTTCCGAATGTTTTGGAAGTCGAACGGACTTCCGGAATGGATTCCGTTCGACTTCCAAGGTACGATTATACAACAACAGAGAACATACAAACATAAATAGATTAAAATTAAGCTCTATGAGTTAATACACGATAAATAATTCAAACTGCTAAAATATATAAGTTAAAGCCTTAATTGCTAATTTAAAAGATATGAAGACATTGGCAGTTAGATTCATTCAACGCTTGTCTCTTTAATTTTATAGCAGCAGCACAGAATTTAACCACTTTTAAGGTAATCTCTAGTTCCCTGTCCTCTGTTAAGTATTTCAAGTAATAATCATCAGTTCTGCTTGGGGTTTGCTGCATGATTTGAGCAATAAATACAGTGGTACCTCGGGTTAAATACTTAATTCGTTCCGGAGGTCCGTTCTTAACTTGAAACTGTTCTTAACCTGAAGCACCATTTTAGCTAATGGGGCCTCCTGCTGCTGCCGCACCGTCGGAGCACAATTTCTGTTCTCATCCTGAAGCAAAGTTCTTAACCTGAGGTACTATTTCTGGGTTAGTGGAATCTATAACCTGAAGTGTATGTAACCAGAGGTACCACTGTATAGAGCGTATAACCTTGTAATAGTGACAATGTATACAAAGCAAATGTTGGGAAAGATGGAGGGCACAAGGAGAAGGGGATGACGGAGGATGAGATGGTTGGACAGTGTTCTCGGAGCTACAAACATGAGTCTGACCAAACTGCGGGAGGCAGTGGAAGACAGGAGTGCCTGGCGTGCTCTGGTCCATGGGGTCACGAAGATTCGGACACGACTCAACGACTAAACAACAATGCAAAGCAAGTGCTCTAGTCACTGAGCTATGGCCCTTTCCTTACTCAAACTGAGAAACGGGAAAAGTAGAGCTATTATATGCTTTCCTAGAACCTTCCCAAGCCCTCTCAACACCATTTATTGAGCAGCAAAGAAGGGATGCCTACCCAGAGAGGCCCAGTTGAAGTTGTTCTCTACCATGACATCTATATAGAGAGCTCTTTGGTCCGGATCCAAAAGGGCCCATTCTTCCTCACTGAAGTGGATCGCTACGTCCTGAAAGGTCACCAAAACCTGGAAAGAAGACACAAGAACTTCGGAAGGGGCTTCACCCAAAGTCAGGCTGTTGATCCGCCGAGTTCACTAGTTTATAGACTGACCAACCAGAGGATCTCCAGGGTCCCAGGCAAGGAAATTGCATAGTACAGAGTCAGACCATCGGTCCATCTATTATCTATGCCAGGCGTAGTCAACAAGGTGCCCAGTTGACATTTTGCTGCACTACAAATCCCATCATCCCTGTCCATTGGCCATGCTGGCTGGGGCTGATGGGAGTTGGAGTCCAAAAACAAATCCAGAGGCCACCACAATAGCTACCCTTGATCAATGCTAACTGGGTTTCAAGACAGGGCTTTTCCTGGGACATTCTACATGCATAAGAGGTGCTCTACAATTGACCTATATCCCTTCCCCAAAGGACTTGACGCCTTCGCACGAGCCACACAGTTGACCCATCTAATTAATTTTATTTATTGAATTTACAGTCGTACCTCAGAAGTTGAACACAAGTTGAATGTTTTGGCTCCCAAACACCGCAAACCCAGAAGTGAGTGTTCCGGTTTGCGAACGTTCTTTGGAACCCGAATGTCCAATGCAGCTTGTGCGGCTTCCGATTGGCTGCAAGAGAGCTTCCTACAGCCAATCGGAAGCCGCATCTTGGTTTCCAAATGTTTTGGAAGTCGAACGGACTTCCGGAATGGGTTCTGTTTGACTTCCGAGGTACCACTGTAAATAGCGCCCTATAACCGGAGGTCTCAGGGCAGTTCACAGAACAAAATCAAAATATAAAACCACAAAACATATAATCAAAATAAAAACAACAGCCCAATAACCCCCTCCCCCCAAAAAACCACATTTTCAAAGGGCATATGATGTCTAATTAAGTATTTTCTACACTGATTGGCAGAGAATCTCCAGGTTTTTGGGTAGGGTACTTACCAGCTCTATCTGAAGATAGCAGTGATTGTTTATGGGAGACTCTCAAACAAAGTACTTGTATTATAAAATCCAACACATTCCCACTGCTCCTCTAACTGTTGCACCTCACTGTCTCTCCATAGAGCTTCTCAGGAGCAGCAGGCGGGGCTAAGGCCACCTTTCATACTGAAGTGAAGGGAAATTGGTAGGTTGTTGCCCCAGAGCCAGATGTCCCCTTGCCCACCTGAGCTGGAACCAGAGCAACTGTTGCCACACCAGCAGGAAGAGGGGCTGGCTCAGAAAGCGTCAGGGATGCCATCCTTCTGAATGCAGTGGTGAAAATGGGTTCGTTCCAGTGGTTGAGCGCTGCTGAAAGAAACAGAAGGGAGACAGCAGGAGAAGTAAGCCTCGAGCATTGCTACAAAAGGGAATGAGGAAGGTGGAAGAGGCAAGCCTAAAATATTGTCATAAAAGGGATTGGGGACAGCAGAAGAGGCAAGCTGCAAACGTGAACCAGGATGGTGGAACAGGCAAGCCTGAAATATTGTCATGGAATAGGAATGGGTACAACAGAAGAGGCAAGTTGCAGAGTTGAACCATGATGGTTGAAGACATGTCACATGCGGCAGTGAAAATGGGCTCATCCCAGTGGTTGAGCGCTGCTGAAAAAAACGTAAGCCGCAAGTGTGGCTACAAAAGGCAACGAGGAAGGTGGAAGAGGCAAGCCATAAAGGAGAATGGGAACAACAGAAGAGCAAGCAAGAGAGTGAACCAGGATGGTGGAAGAGGCAAGCCTGAAATATTGACATAAAACAGAATGGGGACAACAGAAGAGGCAAGTTGCAGAGGTGAACCAGGATGGTGGAAGAGGGAAGCCTGAAATATTGCCATAAAATAGGAATGGGGACAACAGAAGAGACAAGCTGCAGAAGTGAACCAGGGTGGTGGAAGAGGCAAGCCTCTGTTTTTCTGGCTCACACAGGTATCTTAGGAACCCATGACCTTGTTACTTTCTCCAAACATCCCCTGAGCCACACCTGGGTCACATGCCCACAATTTATTCAACTCCTGACACAAACAGCAAGGTGTCATCCTGAATGGCGATTTACAGTATTTACGCCATGTCATTATTTTTCAAATGCCCCTACAGATTCTTGGCTCTCCTCTGGCATTTGCAAATCCTCTAAGTAACCCTCCAGAACCCCCTCATTTCTTTTCATCATAGCTATTAAGCATGTTTTAATAAAATGCCTTAGACTCAGAATTATAGCATTACAAGGGATCCAAAGGGTTATTTAGCCCAACCCCCTGCAATGTCATGAATGTCCGCCTGCTCATTCCCCAATCCTCCAAACCTAGAATAAACCTGCCATTCTCTCAGAGGCTGCCTCCTCGCAGTGCTCCTGTGCTTTTGACAGCTTCATAACAGGCAGAAATGCTTCAGGTGAAGCTTTTCCCCAACATATAGAAACAGTGGGCAGTTTCTGTTTTTTAAAAAATTTAGAGCTCCAAACTCCACCTTCCCCAGATTCTGGAAGTTTTGCCGTAGAGGTCCCATCAGCCCTGGTTGGCGTGGAGGTTAATGGGAGTTGTAGCGCCATCTGGGACTGATGGGAGTTGTAGTACAAAACATTTAGAGAGTGTACCAAGTTGGGGGAGCTTTCTCTAAATACATTTCTTTGCAAAGTGAATCATGGTTGCCACATTTGTTCTGGCATGGCAAAGTCACTCTGTGTTGGTTTGTTTAGCAATTTGGTTTAAGAATACAGTGGTACCTCAGGTTAAGTACTTAATTCATTCCGGAGGTCTGTTCTTAACCTGAAACTGTTCTTAACCTGAACTACCACTTTAGCTAATGGGGCCTCCCACTGCTGCTGCCATGCGATTTCTGTTCTCATCCTGAAGCAAAGTTCTTAACCCGAGGTACTATTTCTGGTGCTGGAGGAGACTCTTGAGAGTCCCATGGACTGCAAGAAGATCAAACTTATCCATTCTGAAGGAAATCAGCCCTGAGTGCTCACTGGAAGGACAGATCCTGAAGCTGAGGCTCCAATACTTTGGCCACCTCATGAGAAGAGAAGACTCCCTGGAAAAGACCCTGATGTTGAGAAAGACGGAGGGCACAAGGAGAAGGGGACGACAGAGGACGAGGTGGTGGGACAGTGTTGTCGAAGCTACCAGCATGAGTTTGACCAAACTGCAGGAGGCAGTGGAAGACAGGAGGGCCTGGCGTGCTCTGGTCCATGGGGTCACGAAGAGTCGGACACGACTAAACAACAACTATTTCTGGGTTAGCAGAGTCTGTAACCTGAAGCGTATGTAACCTGAAGTGTATGTAACCCGAGGTACCACTGTAAAAGGAAAACTCCCCTGCCTAGATCCAGGTTTGCGGCACCAACTGCAGCTTCCTGAAAGGCATGCGGGATTAGGAAATTGAGGGTAGAACAACGCCTGCCATCTGGGCTCACCAAAACATCAAATAAATCCAGCTAGGTGTGCTCCACTTTCGCTTGCCTCGCTCTTATTTCATAGAATGACAGAATCATAGAGTTAGAAGGGGTCTCAGGGATTATCCAAACCAACGCCCTGCAGTCCAGGAATCTCAGAACGCCGCCTCCCTCCCAATTTGAAACCATACAAGAGACCCTGCTTAGGTTTCCAAATGTGCCAGCAGCCAATTGTTTAGTCCCAGGCTAGAACCTGCGGACTTCAGCATCGCCGAGCCCTGCAAATTGCCAGGCGATAAAGGAGAGCTGTTCCCGGCTCATGTGCAGAGCGCTGTTCGATTCCCACCCACGTCTCGCTCGCGAGTGAGCTGCAGATCAGCCTTGCGGACACTTTCCGGGATGATCGGGGTTACAGAAAAGGGATCTCCCTTAAAAGCAAACCTCCGCTCTGTGATCTGCCCCGCCTGCCCGGTGCCCGATCCCTTTCTCTCCCCAGGATCTACCTCCGCTTCCTTCCTCGCCCCTCGTGGCGCACGGCAGCGGGCGCCCGAGCTCAGCGGCGTCTTGCTCCACGCAGTGTCTCCCCGGGGTTGGCCTCCGCCTGCCCCCCCGGCTACCCTCGGGGAAATCGAGACCACAAGGGAGCTGGAGGAGGAAGAGGAGAAGAAGCCACCGAAGCCCCGAGCCGTTCTGTTATGGATGAGATTCCTGCATTGCGGGGGGTTGAGCTAGATGACCACCAGGGACCCCCTCCCAAGTTCTGTGCCTCGCTTAAAACAGCTGCTTCAGGCTTCCGGTTCCCAGCTTCCGCCTCATCTTTGGCCATCCTGCTTCCGGAGAGGGGAGTTGGCTGGAGGAGGAGGAGGAGCGCAGGAGCTGCCTTGCCACCGACCTCTGAACGCTTTCCAAGCCGCAGCTCAGAGCAGCGCCGCCTATCTCCTGCGCATAAGCGTGAAACTCTGGAAGGGACCCCTGGGCATCATCCAGTCCAACCCCCTGCAATGCAAGAATATGCAGCTGACCTCTTGCAACCTTGGTATGATCAGCACCATGCTCTAAGCGGCGGAGCTATCCTCTACCTCTCCGGCTGTTTTCTGGCTGGTTCCTGGGAGGGGATTTGGTGAGTCCAGAGGCAGGGAGTCCCAAAGTGTAGGTGCCACCACACTTTATCAATTTCCTTAATCCAGCTCACTGATAATTTATTAGGGACTCTCCATCGCTAGCTGCAAACTGTGGTTGCAGGTGAAAAATATAAGATCTCCTTCACCAGGCCCAGCCGAGGGCCTTCTGGTGGTTCCCTCATTGCGAGAAGTGAGGTTACAGGGAACCAGACAGAGGGCCTTCTCGGTAGTGGCACCCACCCTGTGGAATACCCTCCCTTCAGATGTGAAGGAAATAAGCAGCTATCCTATCTTTAAAAGACATCTGAAGGCAGCCCTGTTTAGGGAAGTTTTTAATATTTAGTGCTGTACTGTTTTTAACATTCGATTGGGAGCCGCCCAGAGTGGCTGGGGAAACTCAGCCAGATGGGCAGGGTATAAATAATAAATTACAGTGGTGCCTCGCAAGACGAAATTAATTCGTTCCGCGAGTTTTGTCGTCTTGCGATTTTTTTCGTCTTGCGAAGAAGCACGGTGTCGGGAAAGTTTTGGAAAAGCTTCAAAAATCACCAAAGTCTTTAAATACCTCAAAAAAGGCTACCACACCGCGTTCTATGAGTTGCTCCTCGAAGTCAAGTCGCAACTGTATTAACGGTGTTAAGAAAAAGGAAACAAACTTGCAAGACGTTTCCGTCTTGCGAAGCAAGCCCATAGGGAAAACCGTCTTGCGAAGCAGCTCAAAAAACAAAAAACCCTTTCGTCTAGCGAGTTTTTTGTCTTGCGAGGCATTCGTCTTGCGAGGTACCACTGTATTATTATTATTATTCTCTCGACTTCAGTCTGGCTCCAACCGGAAACTCGCGCCCAAGATAACAGATCCTGCAGCTGCTCATCACAGTACAGTCCCTTGACTGTCTTGCTTCTGGGAATCCAGAGCTGAGTCGGGGAATTTATTGCATGGGAAGTGGGCAGAGCTGCACCTTTTGGTTGTCTGCCTGCCACGCACCTGTCAAAAGCACAGAAGCAAGAAAACAGCAAGTCCTCATGACAGCAAAAGGTCTTATATTATTGAAGGCAGGCAAAAAGCAGTCTTATTGTTGTTGATTCCTGCATCACAGGGGTTGGACTAGATGCCCCTTAGGAGTCCGTCCAACTCTACAATTCCATTGTTCGTTAATTCATCACCTTCCATGCAGACTCCCTTGAAATGTGTTGGACCTTCATTGAAGGTTTTTAAACAGAGGCTGGGTGGCAATCTGTCAGGGATTCCTCAGCTGAGATACCTGTGTGACAGGGGGTTGGACTAGAGGACCTTCGGAGAGTCCCATTCAAAACACTACTATGATTCTATACAATCATCTCAGCTGTACTCTTACATTTGTATAGAAGGGAACCATTTATGGCAGCATATTGGAGATGTAATGAGGATAATGCTTCTTCGATACATATGTTTATGCAACATCCTATGCTTATGAAGTTTTGGGAGAAAGCACCAGATTGTATAAATATTATAATTATTTTTTTAGGGCGGGGGCGGGGCAAAGCTAGTACTGTCAGAGGATAATATTATTTTAAATTACGTTGGATTTGACAATCTGTCAACGTAAATGGTTTTGCTGCGCCCTCGCTATGGCTAAAAGACTGAGTTAGTGGAATGGTAAATCTATAGCCCCCTTTATTCTGACAACTCTTGCAACATACAGACAGATAGCTTACAGACACAGATTGTGCCTGGACAAATAGAATGACATTTGGAATACAGTGGTACCTCGCAAGACGAATGCCTCGCAAGACAAAAAACTCGCAAGACGAAGGGGTTTTTGGTTTTTTGAGTTGCTTCGCAAGACGATTTTCCCTATGGGCTTGCTTCGCAAGACGGAAACGTCTTGCAAGTTTGTTTCCTTTTTCTTAACACCGTTAATACAGTTGCGACTTGACTTCGAGGAGCAACTCATAGCATGCGGTGTGGTAGCCTTTTTTGAGGTTTTTGAAGACTTTGGTGATTTTTGAAGCTTTTCCAAAACTTTCCCGAAACCGTGCTTCGCAAGATGAAAAAAATCGCAAGACGAAAAAACTCGCGGAACGAATTAATTTCGTCTTGCGAGGCACCACTGTACATTTGTAAAAAAATACAGTGCGTTATAAATAAATGTATATGTATTAGAATAATAATTTCATTCATATACCTTTGTATTATGGAATTATAGTGGTTGTTTTTAAATATTTTTTAATGCGCCTTTTTCCTTTTTTCGCGTTATTTTGTTCAGTCGAAATATTTTCAATAAAATAGAATTAAAATCGTAGCTGTCAACTTTCCCCTTTTCTTGCGAGGAATCCTATTCGGAATAAGGGAATTTCCCTTAAAAAAAGGGAAACGTTGCCAGCTATGATTAAAATAAATAAATCAGCAGCAACATCATACTAAACGAACACTCAAGGCAAAGCCCCACGGTGCTGGTGGGAGGGCACCAGCTTGGGGAAGGCTGCATCGTGGCCTCTTACGTTGGCAGCCTTTCAGCTGTCACAAGACTCTGAAATGCTTCTCCCACCCCACCGCCTTCTCCGCCTCCCGTTAAAAGGGTTAAGGAGAGCGAGCCTTCGTTCCTAGAGAGGCCGCGAGAGCCTCTTCCGGCTTCGCTCAACCTTGGCTGGAGGACCCGAGAGAGCAGGGCAGCTGGTGGGCGGTGATGTCGGTGAGTGTGAAAAGCGCCCGCTTTCGGGTTCAGCAGAGCCCTTCGTCAGGCTGGAGGCTAAGCAGAGCAAGGGGCAGAGGAGAGGGGTGGGGGAAAGGGCCTGGCGATGTTGCGGCCACAAAGCCCGCATTTAATGCATTTAATCCCAGTCTTCTATGGGGAGGAGACTGCAAGCTCAGTTGGGTAAGGGCGTAGTACTAGTTTGCTCTGCAAGTTTCAGGTTACACCGAGGGCTGCTGGGAGAAAAGAGCACACAATGGCTGACCCCTCGTTTGTTTTAAAATATATATATAATAGATAAATAAAATTGACTTGTCTCCACAGCCCCAGATGGGAATCTGCAATCTCCTCCAGCACTCCCTCTTAAAGCTGTTACTAAATACTATATTTAATAACTCACACTTCTTGTTTGCTTAGCAGCCAGTCTCTTGACAGCAGGAAGCGGAAAAGTTGGCCGCTGTTTTCCAATATTTTGGTTGTTGTGTCCAAATCGATGCCTCGCTATGAGGATCGTTTGAGAGGTTTTGGGATCGCTTCCAGACTGTCACTATTTTTGAGTGTTTGGGGGATTCAGTCACATTGATACAGCCAATGGAGGTTTCCCAACTGATGTTACTGGCTCAAATCGCAGCAAAATCTTTACAGTGCAGGGAGGAAGCAGCAAAGTCATCAATTTTCTCAACTGAAATTTTAGTTTTTTTGTGGGGGCGGGGCAGGAATGCAGATGAAAACACAGATATTCATAATTCAACAACAACAACAATCTCTTCTTTCCAAAAAAGATTTGGAAACATGCAGTCTCTGAATATTGACAATATTCTTTGTTTCCATTTGGCAGAGGCATTCCCCATGAAGAATATTGATTTATGATTATACCCTGCAGAGAGAGGGCAATATTTTCAGGCAATGCATTGATTTTTGGAGGGAACGAGTACTTGGAGTGCTTCTGGCTCAGCCCCGTTTTTTACTTCAGTGTCTGCTGAGCTGAGAAATGTGTCCACCTGGGTCTCCAGCTGCATTAGCAGGACTGAAGCAGAAGGGGATTAAGTGCGCTTTGAATCAGAGAAAGGAAGGGAAAAGGGCCTTTCTGTTGACGTGGTCAAGATTACTAGGAAATTCTATCAAAGAAGGAGTGGTCCAGGCCTATTATGAAAAAGATCTTAAAATAGATGATGAGAGGATTATAATTTTAAAAGAGGTCTTGAAGAAGAGAGAGGATTACAGTGGTACCTCAGGTTACATACGCTTCAGGTTACAGACTCCGCTAACCCAGAAATAGAACCTTGGGTTAAGAACTTTGCTTCAGGATGAGAACAGAAATCGTGTGGCGGCGGCAGCGGGAGGCCCCATTAGCTAAAGTGGTGCTTCAGGTTAAGAACAGTTTCAGGTTAAGAACGGACCTCTGGAACAAATTAAGTACTTAACCCGAGGTACCACTGTATAAATTTTTGACGGAGGCCCTTTAAAAGAAAAATATCTGCTTCAGCTGGGAATTCCCTGAAGGGATTTCCTTTACTTATAAAGGCAAAAAACAGAGGTGTGTAGACAGAACTATATGGGAAGCAGATTCAAAATAAGGGAAATTATTGCTTTTTTAAAAAATATGGTGTCCAACTTCCCCTCCCATCAGGGCAATAGGATCTTTCAACAGTCAAAGCTTTCCCCAAAGGATCCTGGGAACTGTAGTTTGCTAAGCATCCTCAGAGTTCGCAGGAGTCCCCTCCCCATATTTTCCTCACAGAGCTATAATTTCCAGAGTGGTCCTCTTTCCTTTTCTGCCCCTCTTTACTGAACAAGATCTCTGCTGCTCTGTTGCTAGGTTCTGAGTCCGCAGAAGCAGGAAAAAATGAATCTCCCTGAGACAGAGGACGCTCTTCAAGACACTTGGCAGGGATTGCTCTTCCAGGATATCAAGCAAGAGGCTGATGATGGAGTTGCCACCTTCTCAGGCAAGGGTCCTCCTAGCTTGATTTGCCCTCTCATCCTATCCTGCGACTCCCACCCCCTCCAATTTGACCCCAAAGGATCCA